GATGGATTGTCTGACTACAGGTGCCACTGCAGTGAGCTCTGCCTGCTGGGCAGTGAAGCACCTTGCTGGATGAAGGCCATGTTGTCCCCAGGGTTGGGATGCTGCTTTCCACTTTGCTTTTCCTGGGGCTACGGAGGCTGATCTGCCTGTGAGCAGGTGTTATGAAGGCTATTTGACCAGGCAGGATTCTACTTCCCAGTGCTGGATGATACGTTCTGGCCCTGAGAACGAATGCCGACAAGTCTACCTCATCCCGTGTTCTCTCTGTAGGACGGCTCAGACGGAGAGACGGCACCAAAGCTTTTGGGAAGCAAGTTTATTAAGCAGGCCAGAGCCACTAGGTAGATTTACACATGGTCACATGCTATTTAATTGGCCATTTTAACCTCTGGGGAGAGGTTACCCTTCCCTGGTCTCGCCCCAGGTATTACTGACATTCCTCAAATCCGGGAGTTTTTTGTTTCACTCATTATCCCTCATTATCTCCCTTCCTCTCCTTGCCTTCCTGCCTCATCTGCTCTGTGAGGAGCCCCGGTTGGCCCTTCAACCAGCGTCCCTGCTGGGTGTGTGCCATTTCCAGGTAACAAGTTTTGGTCATTTTGGAGCAAAGCTACCCCATGTCTGATTCTAATAGGTCTCTTGCCCATCAGAGGCTCTGTATCTTTTTCTATATTTTTTTCACTCTTCTTTTTTTGGTGCTGGGGATCAACCATGGCTTTGCGCATGCTAGGCAAGTGCTCTGCCTCGGAGCCAATCCCAGACCAGCTCCGTGTCTTTTAATGTCTCATAAGTTAGCCAAATATATTTTTCAAAAAAAGTGTATATTTGTTTGGTACATATAGAAATTTAGTCTTCCAGAATCCTACTGGGACAAAATTGTGTGGTGTGGGTTCCTTTGTGCCTCCGAGTGTCTGGTCTTAATTGTGCTTTAGGTGTTGGGTAAAGTGCTTTCTGGAAAGTACAGACATAGTCTTGTTTTCAGTCCTCTTCCTGTTCTGCTCCCCACGTGAAGTCCTGTGACTCTCTCGTGATTTTATATGTAGCTTTAGGATGTCTAAATAGGGGATGTGCTGCCTCCAGTAACCAAACAGTCCTGTCAGCCTTTGTGCTTCTTGTTCAGACATAGGCATGGCATCCTTATTGCCACATGGTGTCTGTCACTGTCTGCTACCTGTGTGCCATCTGATCACCATGTAACTCCTAAAAATTACAAGGGTATCTGATCCTGCGTTTTTATCATCAACTGTTCACACTCTGTTTCCAAGTTCTTCTATTGTTTCCTGCCAGCTTCCAATTTTTCCTCACCGTCACCTGTCATTCTGGGGTTTCTCTATAAGGTATGAATAGTGAGTCACAAAATTTGCCTGACTCATCTGGGAGGACAGTATTGAACGTGCGATTACCGGACTGTTTAATAGCTGATACTCTGCTTTCCTGTGTGATGGCTGTCCACTCCTGGCTTTCTTTACCTATGGGCATGGCGAAGAACTTAAGTGACATCCTATTGTCATGTAATACTTCCCATTACATGTGTCATTGTACGGGTGATTTCTTCATATCTGCTAATGTACCTAAGAGTTTAGGAGGCTCGTAAGTTTCTGTAATTGGCTGTTAATCTGTGTGATCCCTGGGTTCAAAAACTGGCCATGAAAGTTGTTGGACTTGCCAGGTATTACTGTTTTTTTCGTCAAGTCGTTCCCGTCTCTTCCAGAATTTCTTTTCCTCCCTCCCTTCCTCTCTTCCTACCTCCTTCCTTTCTTGTGATACTGGAGTTTGAACTCAGGGTCTCGCGCTTGCTTGGCAGGCACTGTTCTACTTGAGCTACTCCGCCAGCCCTGCTGTGTGTTGGGTTTTTCAAAATAGGGTCTCACAAACTATTTCCCCAGGCTGGCCTTGAACACAATCCTCCTCATCTGAGTCCTGAGTAGCTCGGATTATTGGTGTGAGCCACCATGCCCAGCCTGTAACTTCTTTATGCCTACCCTGTAATCAGTATTGCTTTGTAGTGCTGTCACACAATGACAGGTATCCTCTGCACTTTTGCTAATCTGCATTTTGTAGCTATGATGTTTTACAGGCATCTAGTCCCGTGACAGGACGTGCCTGGGTGGTTAGTTGAGAGGCTTTGCAGATCATGGCTTAGAGTTGTTTTGTTTGCTAAGGGAAAGTTCTGGTTCATCTCAGAGCACATATGGCTACCATTTACTCCTCCACCTCACAGGTCTGATAGCTGATCTACATCTGTGGCTTGTTTCTGGGTGAGGTCTGTCCTAAGTTCTCACCATCCTGCCTGGTGTACTCCATCTTCCGCTGTTTTGATCTACTGTTTTTCTAGTCACAACTGGCTGTGCCATCTAGACTCTCCCCCAGGATCATTAAAACCTCAGGATAGGGTTCTGTGACTCCAGGTGGTCCTTCACTTTGTGATGGGTCATTACATTCTCTGCACATCTGTCCCCTGGACATTTTATGTGCTAGCTACTTCTCTTATGTCTGTCCCGATCAGGTTGTGTCAGGCTTTTCTTTTTTTGGTGGTGCTGGGATTTGAACTCTACCACATAAGCCATGTCCCCAGCCCTGTGTCAGGCTTTTCAACATTGCAGATACCCCTTCTCTTGGTGCTGTATGAATTAATGGTTTGCATTACTAGGATCCTGTAGATCTGATTTTATATCCTCTGGGGCTGCTTCGAGGGGTCCCATGGATCCCAGAGGTGAGCACTGCTCTATGCAGCGCTTTTCTTAGTCTGTCCCTTATCTTTCTTCCCAGGGCTAGCATTTCTAGTTGTTTTCTTGCCAACTCAAATGGTTTCTTAGAGCAGTGTAGCTCCATAAATAGTCTCCTGAGTGATGAGAGATCACAGATGTGTGGTGTGAGGTTTGCATCTGCTTCTCTTGCAGTTCTCTTGCTAGCCAAATCCTCGTGAGGTGAGACCCTTCATGACATAGGCTGTGCACCTGCCCAGCTCTCCAGCACCTCAGCCCTTGACCTGCACGGACTGGAGGTGTAAGCCAGGGTAAGAGCAAGGCCTTAGGCCAGCAGAGTGAGCTTCCCTCTCTGTTCAGTCTTTGGTAGAGGAACTGGTATCAACAAATGCTTTGTATGGAAAGGAAAATTGTGTATTTTCACTTATTTTGCCAGTGGCCTGTTTATTTATTGGGTGCCTTTAATGACCAGTTGTTGTGCCCTAGCTACGGCAGTAACATGCTGGCCTTTCCACAATGTCAGAACTTACTAACAATAAACTCTCCAGCTTCATCTGCCATTACTCACTGGATACTCTTGCTTGGCAAACACAGGTTCTTTAATTCCATTCCTCTCTCTCTCTCTCTCTTCTTTTTTAGTGGTACTTATCAGCATTTGAACTCAGGGCCTCCTGCTTGCTAGGCGGATGCTCTACCACTTGAACCATCCCCCAGCCCTTTTGGCTTGAGTTATTTTTCAGATAGGACCTTGTGTTTTTTGCCTGGTCTGGCTTTAGACCTTCACCTGCTCCCTTGTAGCGTATGAAAATGTAACACTATGCCCAACTTATTCTTTAAGGTAGTTTAGGGTTTCCCTAACTTTTTTTTTTTTTTTGGCTTCGGCTGGAAAACTTGCTTTTATAAGTGGGGTAAATCCATTTCAAGGCACGGCCTGAAAGCTACCACTCTATACAATGTGGAGGAACCCAGAGCAGGCCTGGTCTTCATGAGGTGGGTGCACCTGAACAGGTGAGCCAGACTCTGGCTGGAGCCCAGTGTGTACCAGGCTGCCACAGCCTGGACGGGGCCTCCCTCTTTCACAGCTGGCTTCACTCCCAGCCCTCGGACCTGGACCTGGGGGCGTGTATGCCCGAGCCCACCTGCTGCCTGTGGTGAGACTGCAGCTTCCCACGGGGTCCTGACAGTGGCATTTCTGAGTGTCTGGAGGGCTCCCTACTCCTAGCCTTCTGTTCCACACTTGGCCGTGTGTGTTGCAGACCCTCCTGGTCCCTCATCCCCTTCCTTTTTTTTTTTGGTGGGGGGCGGTGCTGGGATTTGAATTCATGGCCTACACCGTGACCCACTCCACCATACCTTTTTTTTGTGATGGATTTTTTCGATAGGGTTTGTGAGATATTTGCCAGGGCTGGCTTTGAACAGTGATACTCCTGAGTAGTTAGGATTACAGGTGTGAGCCACTGGTGCCCAGCTTCCTCCCCTTCCTGAGGTCACCAATGCTCTCTTGCCATACACACCTCTGCTGCTTACCAGGGAAATGCACTGGACTTGAGGGCAGGAGGGTGACTCACCAGGCAGGCTATGACAGACAGTGCCCCGTAACTCCTGACTCTCCAGTCTGTCTCAGGCCCCCTGAAGCCCCGGTGAAGCCTGCATGGGGGAAACAAACTGGTTTCCTGGGCCCTTCAGTGGCCTCGGCTTCCTAGTGTGGACTGCCATTCCCAAATGGATCCTATAGCTCCAGTCCTCAGACACACAGTGCTGCACACCTGGTTGCCATTTCCACCACTCACATATTCAAAACCTGCACCTGCCAAGGTGGCCACGCATCATGGCACCTGTGTTTATCGCAAACACCCAATCTGTGGAAATGATGGTCTTTCCAAAGTCAGTTGTCTCTTCGAGTTGCCTGGGGCTAGGGATGATAGGGAACGCCTGTCGGGGCAGCCTCAGGGAAGGCTCTGTGGCAAGGGAAGTTGTACCTCTCCGAGACAGGAGTGGGAGCCCTGATGTATCCTGTGTGAAATGGAACCCTATACCCAAGACCCTTTTGGGTTTGACAGTCCTGTTGTCACATAAGAAAACTGGGTGCAGGGGCTCCAAGACCTGAACTTTCTTTGCAACTGTGTGAAGGAATAAATTTTCTTTTTTTTTTTTGCGGTACTGGGGCTTGAACTCAGGACCTTCACTTTGAGCCACTTCACCAGCCCTATTTTTGTGAAGGATTTTTCGAGATATCTTTCAAACCATGATTCTCCTGAGTAGCTACGATTACATGCGTGAGCCTTTGGCGCCTGGCTTAAATGAGTGTTTTTGAGAGCGTCTCAAGAACTTACCAAATTGTACTTACAGAAAAGAGGTTGCATAATTATTAGTTATGGTCACAGGGAACAGCTGTGAGCAGGGCCCAGCCAGCGCCCTCACCCACTCCCAGACCCACTCCTGCCCCAGGCCTCTGCTTGCCTTTGAGCAATTAAGGTAGGGTGCTAAGGCACAAGGCTTGCTTCTGAGGTCTGTAGCATGATTGCTGGAGGCCCAAGGAAGCCCAAGTTGTCCTCCAGGTGTTGGTCCCAAGACTGCAGGTGCGGGCCTGACCATGTTTCCAGATGGATCAATTTACCCTCCCCAGGCACATCCCTCCCCTGTCCCCTGGGACAGCTGCTGAGGACAAGTGGAGCCCCTCTATTTGGGACAGGGGGGTGGGGGTGGCCATGACTTAACAGCACTGCATTTCACAGCTGCTTTTAGATCAGTGAGAGGCAGGTGCCAGCACCTTCCCTCATGGGAACTGGGTGAGAATCAACAGAGATGCAGCAACACAGGGGAGGAGACAGAGTCTGTCTGCAGGACAGGGACAGAAGGGACAGAGGTGGGGCACTAGATCTAGACACAAGCAAGGAGGCTGTCTCCATCCCAGAGAGCCTGGGCGGAGTCTGAACTTGGGCAGAGGTGTGCTCCTGACCTGGTCAAATGCCAGGTTAATTAGCAGCCACACAGGAGGCCACCACCATGGTCTTGGTGGCTCCTAAAATGCAGCAGCCACACCTGCCTGCTGTCATGGCTTCAGAGCATCTGGACACTTCTGTCGTCCCTGCCCAGGTATGTAGGGTAAGAACTCTCAGCCCCACCCTACCTACTGGTTTGGCTGCCAAGGAGGGAAGGGGCAGGCCCTTTAACCATGCCCCTGTGAGGCAGCGAAGCCTTTCAGCCCTGTTCGGTTCCCTCACCTGAGGTTTGCAGAACAGCACCTTCTCCTGGGCTGCACCTCATCCTCTGCTGAGAACATGCCTGGCTGGCCAGGACTGGCCTCTGAAGGGCATCCCTGCTCTGCTTTTCCCAGATGAAGCTATGCCTCCCTCATACCTCACCCCAAAGTCTCCTCTCAGCCCCATTCTCTAAGGTCCCCAAAACCCCTGCCTCCCGCCTGGACCCCACAGGCAGAAATGAAGCCAAAGAGCCCAAACAGGCCAGCAGTCACTTGTGTCCATGGGTGATGGAGTAAGTCAACAAGTTAAGTTCCCTTCCATGTCCTGTAGGCAAGAGACGCAGATTGGCCTGCATTCACTCCTACCCAGAGCCTGCCCAACCCAAGGACCCTGGGGGCTGGCAGGTCCGGAAGCAAGTCAGGCATCCTGCAGCCTCAGCACCTTGGCCTGGTTCTCATCCAGGATGAATGGGGACTGGAGCTCCCGGCCTTGCAGGTACACTTCCAAACCCTGGAAACCAGCAGTTATTAAGGCCAAGTGGTCACCTCTTTGCTGCCCACAACCCATCCAGCCACCCCAAGGAGCCATAGCCCCTGGAGCAGGATCCCAGGTCCGCCTGGACTCAAGGAGGGTCAGCAGAGGGCCTTGTGTCCGTCCCTCAGCACAAAGTCCCAGAAAAGCTTGACTGGCCTGACCCTGGACTCAGATCTGGGTGACTCCCCTGTTCCACTACTCCCAGGACCTGCAAAGGCCTCTGGACACCTCACCCCAACTGCATCCCAAAAGGTCCTCTGCAACTTTAAAGGCCCGTTTATCCCCTTGGTAAATTGAGATAGAGTTTATCCACCCCAGTACCCACCTCTCCCTAGTACTCCAGACCCTTGTAAAACCCTAGACAGGACCAGTGCTCTCACCTCTCCAGAATAGGACACCAAAGGTGATATCTCACAGATGGCAGGAGGGTCTTCATCTGGGGGCAAGCTGGGGAGGAGTGTACCCATCAGCATATGCCTCTCAGGTGTGGTGCCCCCATGTGTGGAAATGGCCAGTGTCTGCCCAGCAGGGGGCGCCGTACACCAGCCCCTGGGGTGGTGGGGAGGAGGCACTTCCCAGCAAGCTCCTCTTCCTCTGAATAGCCCAACCCTTCACCCACCACCTGCCCAATAATAATAGGCCCTGCTCTGGCTGAAAGTACCCTATGGGCACCCCAGGCAGCTACAACTCCAGACAGTCCAGGAGGTAACAACCAAGGGCCTTTGCTCCCTAGCCCTGGAAGTCAACCACCCTGCTATCTTATGAAGGTCATGCCCAGCTCAGTATCAAAAGCTTATAAGCAAGTCTGGGGTCAGAGACCCGGCATCCCTGGTGCCCTGAGCAGGACGTGAGGGGCCAGGCTGAGCTGCAATCACCCTTTAGGCAGGGGCGGGCTGGGCACATGGCCACCTGTGTTTGGTATGGTGCTGGGGCAGAACCCCAACTGGGACCGTGACAGAGCCCAAAGGGCCCTGGGGATGCAGATTGGGCCCTGACAACCTTCCCCCTCCAGGCTGCCCCCCAGAATCCACTCACCTGGGCAGATCGGGAAGTTGGGCTCCATGTGCATCCAGGAATCGGGCCCCGGCCTGCAGAGCCCAGCGGTAGTGCTGAGCAAGCAGAGCCCGCCTGGCAGTGGAGGGGTTGTCTCTGGCTGCTGTCTGGGCATTCTTCAGTGGGGAGAACTCCTCCTCCCGAGGCACTTCAAAGGCAACAAAGTTCCTGGTGAAGAGAGGGGCCAGTCACTCCATGTCCTGGCCATGGCATGGCCAGGTTTACAAGGACTAAATGGAGGTCTATCCCTCCAGCGAGACCCCATAGGTACAGTTGAATCTTTGCTCCTGAGACACCAGGAAGCCTCAAATCCTCCCTTCTCCCTCCTGCCTAAGCCACAGGCTATGCTCTAGCAGAAAGTAATCCATGGGCACCCCAGGCAGGGTCCAGGCAGTCAGACTCAGCCAGAACTCCAGGTAGTCTGAGAGGTGTCACTTAAAGGCCACAGGCAGAGCCACAGGCGCTGAAGCCCTGGAAACACCTGACCCTGGGTGAGGGCCAAGTGGGGGTAGGGTACCAGTGTTCTCCCAGGACCTCAGCTGTCCAGATGTTTCCCACACTCCCACTCCTGGGGTCTCCTTTCTCTCAGGTGCAAGAGCTGTCTGCAGCCTCCAAACCCCCAACCGGGCCTCCATTTCCCTGCCCTGCTGGGCCTCAAACCCACCACCAGAACAGACAGAAAAAAAGGAAAAAAATAAATAAATGACTTCAACCACTAACTTAGCGAACTGGAACACATCAAACACAAACTTCTCCATCTTTATCCCGTTTGGTTTTAGTGGCTTTACCAGATTCCCCTCCTCATCCACGTATGGGACCTTCTTTACTGCCACGTGTGGTTTCAGCAAGGGCTCAAACTCCCTGGGGGTAGGAAGGCAAAGGGGAGGAAGATTCAGACAGGACAGCCCTGGGATGCTTGTCCCCATCTCTGAGCATACCTGGCCAGATGGGGCAGGCTAGTAGGTGGACACCACAGGGCACAAAGGCAGTGGGGCCCAGTCAGATCTCTGCAGAGGGCATAGGACTCTTCTGACTTCCCCCAGTGCCAAGAGTTGTGCTCCATCATCCATGCCCTGGCCCGGGCTAGTGGAAACTGGCAAGCCACAGGGCAGAAGTGGTATCCATGAGCCATGGGGCAGATCCACAGGAAAAGGCAGACTTGACCTCAGAGCCTCACACATGACTCACGCTGGATCTCCAGTGCCTTTGGCTTGTTTAAACACCAAAAACTTTCCTCACCTAACCCATCTTTCACTCCCAACCACAGCACCGTTTATGGCCCAGCCTTCAGTTGCTGCAGTCCAGGGCCCTTGGCCCAGTCTGGCACTGCTGGTCCTTGGTCAGCACAGGCAGCTCTAGCTGGCACCTGCTGTCGCACACCTGGTAATTGTCTGGAGGAAGCCTCTGGTGAAGAAGTGGTTGCAGATGTTGCCTGCGTTGTTGAGCAGGCCCCCATCTGGCCCACGCAGCCTGGCGGTCTCAGGGCTGATCTCGCTGTACTCCACCACCTGGGGGACACCGTCCACTTGGCACACCACGCCCACGGGCTCCTCGGGGTATGCCTTTTCCACCACCTGCAGCCACCGGGGATGGGCTCTGAGCACTGGGCATGGAAGGGCTGAGCAGAGGGGCGGGGCCAGGCAGAGGGGCGGGACTTGGCACACTCACCTTGGCGCCACAGTCTGCGCCCCGAAGCACGCAAAAACCGATGAAGACCGGGTCCGCCAGTCGCACCAGTATATTGTCCACGCAGTACACGTGCACAAACTCCACTCCCCGGCGCTCCATGTCCTCTAGGATCTGGTGGTCTGCTAGTGCACAATACAGGCCCCCATTGCCATCTGGAGAGAGAGAGAGAGAGAGAGAGAGAAATGGGCCTTGCAGCGGGCTCCAGCAGACCTATGGAGGAAATGCTTCAGGCGCCAAGTCCAAACCTTCACTATCCAAATAGCCTTGGTCGTACCACGTGACAGAAGGAATCAGCCTCCCGCAGTATAGCTAGCCTGGGACACAGGTCTCCTGACCCCCCTCCCCCACACAGGTGCACTCTTTGAGGTCCAAGATGGGCAGCCCATCCCTGTCTCGGGTGTGCCATACCTGGGGCCATGGCGACTTTGTCTTTCCTCTCCAGGATGGCTCTGCCCTCAAAGGTCACTGCCGGCAGCAGGCGCTGCTCAAAGAGGACCACATTGGCGGGGTCCAGGTGGAAGAAGTCATGCTCCTTGAAGAACTTGGCTGTGGGCCCCAGTGTAAACTCACTGGTCATGATGTACCTGTAAGAGAAGACAGTGGTGAGCTGCTTCCAAGGGGGACTGGCCCCTAAGACATCAGGCTGAACAGAGCTGGCATGGAGTTCAGGCTGGGGCAGCAGGAGGTTAGGTCTCAGGGGCTGTGCTGGGGTTGGGTCTCAGGCCTACGTGTGGTGCAGGAGTGAGGTCACATGGGGAGGGTCACTCTGGAGCCAAAATAGATAGGGCGGACACACCAAGGCACGGTGCAGTGAGTCCCCAGGCGCTCGCCAGCCAACTGCTCTACCCGCCGGATCCGTTCTGCCTGCAGCTGGTACAGGGTCTTCTGGCTGGGCAGCCCCACTTGATACATGCCCTTGGGGTAGGTGACACCCAGGCGAGTGCCCTGACCACCGGCCAGCAACAGAACGGCCACCTTGTTCAGGGCAATCTGTCGGAAACCTGGGGGCGAGGGGTGCGATCAGGGGACGCCTAGGAGCTGCCTTACAATCATCCTTTCTCTCTAGAAGAAGGCGAACCTGGTGGGGGGGGGACTCCGAGGGCTAGTACGCGCGGACGGGGGGCGCAAGGCCAGCTCAACCCCACGCACCTTCTCCCGCGTCCCACTCTGTGGGCATGGCTACTTCCTGCGGGCAAGGGGTGCCCCCCTTTCCTCCTCCTCCCCCGCCCCCTACCTTCCTCCTCCCAGCGCCGCCGCGTCTCGGGGTCGCTGCGGCTCGCGCTGCCCAAGCGCTCGGGGGGCAGGGGCCGCAGGCGCGCGGCCAGGTCGGGCAGCGGGCCCAGGGGGCGCGCGCAGGCGGTGGCCGCTCGCTGGCAGTGCTCGCGCAGCGCGTCCGGCTCCAGGGGAGCCAGCTCAGCCAGCAGTGCGGCGCGAGACTCCGGCGCCAGCTCGTCCCAGAAGCGCAGGAGGTGCTCCTGGCCCGCGCGCTGCAGCCGCGCACGCACGTCCCCTTCCGAGGCCATGTCGCCGCCGCCACCGCAGGACCAGCGGGCACTCGTGACCCGCGCGCTCTTTCCGATCGAAGTCACGGGACCCGGGAGAGGCAGTTCCGGACCCCGACTCCGCCCCGGCCCTCTGGCCCCGCCCCTCGGCCTGCCCCGTCCAGTGCGGTCCAGGAGCGGGTCCTGGCCCTGCCCCCTCGCCAGCCTGCCTCCGCCCTCCTGGCCTCTGTCGGTCCCTGTCCCTGAAGCTGCCGTCGTCTCTGGTCTCGTTTCCGCCTCACGACTTCTCTAGCTCCGCCCCCTGTCCGGAGTCCTGGCCCTCCGAGTCCCCTGTCCCTGGCCTACTGGCCCGGACCGCCTGAGCGCCCCGCCCCAGAAGAGCTGAGTAGCCTCTGGGTCGCGCCCGCCGCAGTGGCCCGGGAGCCGGACCGTTGCGCTGGGGTAGAAAGGATTTTGCCGGACGTGATGGCTGACCGCCCTAACCACAGCCTCGGGGCCGCCCCTGCGCCGGCCTGAGTGTGAGAAGAGCTTGACCAGGCTGGCATCCATCAGGAGGCCGCCCTGGACGGGGCAGCGGTCCAGGGGCGCGGGGAGGAGGCCACATGCAGCACGACCGGGTGGGTGCCTATGTCGCTGGGCGCCCTCCTCCTCCTCACGGGAGCGCTCCACACACCACGTGACCAGAGGGCTCTGCAGCCCCTCCCTGCTTGACTGGTTTACCCGTTTTTAACCTATCTTGCTTTTTGAAAAGCATGAACGACAGCACCAGCTATTCAGGGAGAAAACTTTCTTTTAGGAACTAGCTTGAGGTCTAAAAGTAGTACATGTACTGCCTTTAAAGAAAATTAAATGGTTGGGCCGGGTGTGTGGCTTAAGTGGTATACTGTTTGCCTAGCAAGCACAAGGCCCCGAGTTCAAACACTAGTAGCACCAAAAAAAAATTTAGAACCCCAAATCCAAAGTATTATTTCCCTGAGGTCTGCCTGGGACTAAGCCCTGTTAAAGCAGTGTCTTTTGGCAGGCAAGTTCTATACACAGGGCGGAGGCCACAATAAATGGCAAAGAACATTAGGCTTACCTTAGGACTTTTGCACTTTTTATTCTTCCTGCTTAGACACTGCTCTCCAGAATGTAATGTGACTCACTGCCTCTCTTGCATTGTCTGCCGCCTGACTCCATAAGTAAATTCACAAAAACAGGACGTTTGGTTCATTGCTCTGCCCCTAATCTAAATTCACTGCTGGACTTTAGATCAATGTCTGGCACGGAGCAGGCACTCAGTAAATGTTTGTTGACTGAACAAACGAGGGTTAGACCCCAAACTTAGCATAGTCATGACTGAGTCATGGCAGATGTTCAGGGAGTGCTTCCTGAATGAATAAATGAACACTGAGCTATTCTGCTGCAATAGTTCAAGCAGTAATAGCAGAGGTAGGGAGAATGTTGGAGGTGGAAAGTAGGTACAGGAGATAGAACCAGGTGAGCAGGGTGAGCTCCATGCCCAGGTCAGAGTCTACAGAAGCCCTTATCACCCCTACCGGGCTGGGCAGAGGAGGGGGCACATGCCCCTTGAAGCTGGGGTCAGGGTCTGATCTCAGCTTTGTAGGTTAAGATGACCCCCAAATCCTGCCTCAAGGTGGAGGCGGGGCTCCAGAAGTTGGGAAATCAAGGTTTGTGTAGCCAGAGGCACTTGCCAGACCAGAAGAACAAGTGCACTTGGGTGGCCAGTGGACAGACAGTGTAGGCACCTGTTAGGTTTGGCCAATCCCTTTGCCTTAGGGCCTTGTTCAAGCGATCCAGGGGAGCAGGACCAGATGCCAGGAGTGGAGACCAAAGATCCCTGGGGAAGTTTTGGGGACCAGGCAGCATTTGCTGGTCCCTCTCCATGCCCAGTGCTGGACTATTTCATGGAGAAGAGGGGCCCAGATCCTGCCCACCTGTCCCCAAGGAGCCCCAGGCTAGCACAGTGAGAACATAATTACACCTGGGGTGGGTGCCTCAAAAAGCCAGGGGCTACACTGGCTCTGGAAGGCCCCTGGGGAATGGTGGCAAACCTGAAAACCTCACGCTTGGGAGAATGGCCAGGCTGGTGGACTGAGCGGAAGGACGAAATGATCAGAGCTCAGGTTGGGAAGGATATGGATGGGTGGTGGGGGTGTGTTTGTTCCAGGCCCAAAGCCAGGCACCGACTCCAGTCTCTTCTGGGTTTTCTTCCAGGGCCCAGCCACAGGCCATGGGGAAGCTCACAGACCCAGAGCAGCTAAGGCCGCCTCCCCAGGCTCTGGATACCCTGAGGGCTTCCTCTGCAAGTGTGCTTGTATCTACTAGGGTCCTGGGCACTGAGGGCCCTGATGCTCATTGCTAGTGGTTGATCTCCACACCCACACTTCCCTCCCCTCCAGTTCCACACAGCTGTCCCCACACCTCCCATCCCACAGCCCTCACCCTGGGTTCACATCCCACCCAAGCCTCAATCTTTCCAAATAAGGTTTCCTGTATCCTGACCATTCACTGAGCACCAAGGTGGGCTGGGACAATGCAGACCTTTGGTGGCTCTGATCTTCTCCCAAACCACACAGAGATTCATGGAAGATTCACCTTAGCCAGGCATCTAAGTTTGAAGCACTTAGATGGACTTTGCAGGGAGCAAGGGGATCAGGTACCTGGTCTGAGTTTCAAAAGATGCAGAACTCAGAGTAAGAAGAGAGGGCCTTTCTGGAGAGGAGGAGCTGGTGGAGAGCAAGAGGGCAGCAGGGCAAGGTGCCCTAGGACTGGGGCAGGGCCCAGGATAGGTGGGGGGAGATAAGAGTTCAAGAGGGTCTTTAACCAGATCTGCCACTAAAGGGTAAGCCAGAGACAGCTTTCATGACCAAGCTCCACGGGGTAACTCTGAGGTCATAATTCCTTAGGACCCCACCAAAATTCCTTATCATGAAGGAGCCTCGACTTTTTTTTTTTTGATGGAACTGGGGTTTGAACTCAGAGCAAAGCAGGTACTCTACCAGTTGAGTCATGCCTCCAGCCCAGTCTGCTGTGGAGATGGGGGGGTCTCATGAACTATTTACCCAGGCTGGCCTTGAACCTTGATCACCCCAATCTCAGCCTCCCAAGTAGGGAAGTGGAGCCAGGGGAGCTGGCCAGGCTAGCTGCTCCTACAGCCTGAGACAGACAGACAGACACACACACACACACACACACACACACACACACACATACTGGCGCTCTGTACCTAAGGACACAGAGGCCCAGGGAGGCAGGCAGGCTGAGGTCTGTCTGAGAGGAGCAGAAGGGGCGCCCTGTGTCGAGAGCCTATCTACAGCAGGGATTTTGGCAATTCTGCTGAAGATGGACAGTCTGCTTAGAAAGCAGAAGCAGCAGATAACCCATGGGGAATAGTGGCCAGGTGCCTTGGTATTCAGAAGTCTGGGAAGACAGTCAGGGTGGAGGGTAGATGGAACCAGGGCAGAGCCTGAAAGACAGGCAAAGGTAGAGGCAGGGCATCCATGGGCTGCTGGAGCCATAATGCAGGAAGGCCAAGTTTCCCTCATCAGGACTGACCAGACGGAGACAGTGGCTGGATCCCTGCTGGAAAACCAGCAGAAGCCCTGGAGGTCCCAAGCTGGGAGAGCCAGAACAGGTACAGATGTCCACACAGGAAGGGCTGGAACACAGGACCAGAAGAGCCACGTAGCTGGTCACCGAATGGGCATCTGGGGACACAGCAGAAAGTGGCTTTGTCTTGCAGGCGGCAGGCCAGGCCAAACTGTCCCAGGAGGCCAGCGGAAGAGCTGGCAGTATGGGGACAGAGAGGCCTCTGTGAGGGAAAGCGTCCAGCTGGCTGGAGCCTAGGATCCTCTTGGGGCCTTTCTGGTGCAAGAGATGGGGCCCCAGAGTCAGCAGTGCCTTTGGCCAGGAGACCATGAGCGAACAGGACCCAAGGGAGCTAGAGGGGCTGCACCCTCCCATCTTTACCCATGAGGCTATCTGGGGACAGGTTTTTTTGTAGGGCTCCTCAGAAGTGGCCGGTGGTCGAGTGCGCTGGACCTGAGAAAGGGCTGAGCTTCGGCAAGAGGACAGGTGGGCATGGAGGCGGAAGGGGAGGTCGGTGACCAAGCCAGAGCTGCAGAATGAGTCCGGGTGGGGCCCGGCCTCCGCACACCTCGCAGACCCCGCCCAGGCACCGCGGCGCCGGATACTTTAGGCCGGAAAAAATCAAACTGGGGCTGGCGGCGGCTGAGCCAATCGGGGAGCAGACGGGCGAGCTTCGACCAATGGCCGCCGCGAATGCTAATTAGGGCTGACGCCGCGAGGAGGACCCCATTCAAAAGTAGCAGCTATTGTCGCGGCGGGCTGCGCGCGCCGGTCCCGCCGTGGGGCCGCGCGCAGACGGACGCAGGTGGACGCGAGGTCGGAGCCGGGCGCCCATGGCCGTAGCTGCGATGGCCGAGCGGGGCCGCCTGCCTCCTGCCGTGCCCGCGCCCGCGCCCAGTACGGAGGGGCTGCCGCGCGCCTTCCTGCAGAGCCTGCGCACCCTCTTCGACATCCTGGACGACCGGCGGCGCGGCTTCGTGCATCTGCACGAGATCGAGTCCCGCTGGCAGGGCGCCGACGCCAGCGAGCTGCCCCGCGGCGTGCTCGAGGGCCTGCGCCAGGTAGCCCCGGCCAGCGGCTACCTGACTTTCGAGCGCTTCGTGACCGGCCTGCGCACCTCGCTGCTGAACACCGACGGCGGCCCGCGGGACCCGGCGCGCGCCCAGGCCCGGCCCGGAGACCAACGAGCGCCGCCCCCGCCCCAGCGCCTGGTGTTCGCGCCGGCCGACGAGCCGCGCACCGTCCTGGAGAGGAAGCCGCTGCCCCTGGGCGCGCGCCCCGCGCCGGCCGGTCCCGGAGGCTCGGCCCGGAACCCCGAGCAGCTGTGCGGCCCAGCGGAGGTGGCCGCCGGCCCCACGGAACCCGAGCGGCCCCAGAGCTCGGCGCAGGAGCGGAGTCCCAGCGTGGACGCCGGTGAGTGATGGGCTCCCCGGGGCCGATGCCTGACCGAGGTCAGAGCCCCTCTCGCAAGGGATGGGGATACGGGCAGCTGTGCATGGACTTCAGAGCCTGGAACCAGCCTCTGAAGGCCTGGAGGGAAAGGGGCCAAGGGCCAGGGTCAGGAGCGGGACGGTGACTACCAACAGCCATCAGAAACCCACCCTGTCTCAAGCCTGAATTGGGCACTGGGACACCTGCCCCACACCTGGGTACACCTCAGCTTCATGTCTGTGGCTGCTCAGGAAGAAGTTTCCCTCTAGAAGAAACTGTGGTCCTGTGCCCCGAGGGCCCTTCTAGTCTGACAGCTCAGCCTAGAGGGCTGGACACCCCCCTGCCCACATCCAGGCCAGAGCAAGCAGGAACTGCAGGAGGTGGCCCTGAGCACCTGCCTGGGTGACAGGAAGAATGAGGAGGGGGTGAGAGAGTGTCCTGCACCACCCGCAGGGCTGTGCTGCTGCAGGTGTCACAGAGGGACACAGACCATAGTCTCTGGGGACCTCTAGCAGGCTCTTCTGGCTTCCGGTCCAGTTGGCAGGAACAGGAATCTGCTGAATGGCCCCCTGTCTACACCCCCCACCCCCTAGCTCCTGCCTTAGGAACAGGGCCTGCTTTATGGTTGGGAGTGAGGCCAGGCTCCCAGAGGAGCCCGAGGCCCCCCAGCCCCTCCACTCATCCAGCCTCTGCACAGTCCCTACCAGGTGCAGCCTATCTAGTCTCTTTTGGTGCTTCCCACTGCTCTGCCAGCCTCACAGGCCTCTCCCCCTGTCTGCAGCTATGTTCTACCACATTGAGACTGGTGCTTGGGGCCACAGTGGCCCCTGCCTTCCTGGTAAACTGATCTAACAGCCCCACACCAGGCTGGGGGCTCTCCCTGCCCAGCTTCCCTGTTCCTATGAAGCATAGCTGGTCCCAAATGCAGGGACCATCCCTGCATCATCATTCATATGGCTGAGCAGTTGGAAATCGGTCATGGGATTGCCTATGATGGAGAGGCTCAGGGTTTGCCCTGTGTGGCACTGGGTCTGTTATCACCCCCTTCTGAAGGCCATGTGCCAAGTGTCCACCACTGGACAGCATTCACACCCATTCTGCAGCCCTCAGGCCAGAGATAGCTCTAGCTATCACTCCTTTACAGGTAAACCAAGGTCCAGACAGGGGCATGGCATGCTTGACTGACAAAGCTGGCTTTGGGGGTGTCAAATCTGGAGCTGTAAGACCTTCTTAGCTCCCCAGTAAATTCCCTCCAGCACACATATGGCCTACCATGTCCCCAGCCCAGAGGTGTGGGCATCTTTTCTTGTACAGGTCAGGTCCAGGTGTCCTGGGGGTTCCTCCCCAGCCCTCATTGCCAGTTCCTGCTCTGTCTCTACCTCCTGGAGGCCATACACCTCCCACTGGCTCACCCAGAGTTGCTGGCTGCTCAGCACAGCAGGTTAGGATATGAACTCTGGGGCCCTGCCATACACACCTGGGCCCAATTTTTGCATCACCCGCCACCAAGCACTGGGACGTGGAGGATGAGCCTGATGCTGGGGTGTTAGAGGGGCTGAGGGACGGTGTGTTCCTCCACACCTGCACCCCATTTCTGTAGATGGGGGGCTTCCAGGGGGTTGCTCACATGCGCCCTTAGCAAACTATTCCTGAGCTCAAGGATATTACTGACTTACTGTTGACTGTGTGCACTGCCTTTGTACACAGGGGCAGGACTTGCTTTATACTGTGTTCACTTTTGGGTGAGGTTAGGTCACTCAGCCTCACATCTCCCCTGGACCAACTGCCCCACAGGGCCCTGTGTGGGTAGAAGAGGAGTGGAGAGGACTGGAGGCCCTGCCTGCCAGTCTCTTATTCCTGACCCTTTACCCAGCAGCCTTTGAGAGCCCAAAATGTAGCCACCACATTCTAGGCACAGGGTGTGCAGAAAAAACCTGGATGCAGCCCCTGCCCCCAGGGAGCTTACAGCCCACCCAAGGCAGGTGAGGGGAGCAGGACAGACAAGTGGGAACCAGACTCCAGTCAGGCAGAGGCAACAGGAGGACCATGCCTGGGTGTGTGTGGTGGGGAGAGGGGGTGCTGGCAGAGGCTCTGAGGTTGTGCTGCCTGGTCCCTGGGATTTACATCATCAGGGCTGGAATGGGCTGAGGGGCTGGCCTGGGACATGGAGCCCTACAAGGCAGGTCCAGAAATGAGCCAGGTCCCTGCCTCTCACTACAGGTGCAGCTGTCTGCAAGGCCCTGGAGGTAGGCACAGGGGATGCCCGGCGGGCTCCTCGGGCCCGAGGGGAACGTCGGAGGCACACGATCACTAATAGCGTGGACTGTGGCCTGGTGAGAGGGGCCTGTTCAGGAGGTTGGAGGCCAGGGAAGGGGAACTCAGGCCTGGGTTCTGGGGGAGTCCTAGGGGGAGCACAGTTACCTCTAAACTGCTCTTTCTCTACCTGGACTTGAATCCACTATAGGGACACCCAGGGTCAGGCAGAGAGGAGTTATGAGGTCCTCTAGAGATGTGTGGTGACACAGCGTGGGCCAATGTCCTGCCTGCCTCATGAGGCTAGCCTTGCAGGTCAGCTAGGTATGATAGCAGCATGCTGGCTACAAGCAGGACCCTACAGGGGGTGTGCTGAGCCTGGTGTGGTGGTTCATGCCTGTAATTCCAGCTATGCTGGATATATAAGTAGGAGGGTCGAGGTCCCAGGCCAGCCCCAGGCAAAAAGTGTAAGACCGTATCTGAAAAATAATTAAAGCAAAAGGGCTGGGGTGTGGCTCAAGTGGTACAGCACCTGCCTAGCAAGCTTGAGGCCCTGAGTTCAAATCCCAGTATCACCAAAAAATAATGATGAAATAAATAGAGGGGGATATGCTGAGTTGAGGGCCAGTTACCCGCCCTGCCCTAGGGAAGCCTCAGCAGAAGGGTTGAGAAAGGCCAGACCTCTGACCACAGGAGGAGCAAGGGGCCTGTGCTCCTCAACACAGAGGTGCTGGCTTCCTGTGGACAGGCTGTATGTCTGTGCATGCACTTAGACTGCACACGTGCCTACGTGTTCGTGCCCGTGTGTGCTGGTCTGCATGTGCACAGGTCTTAACTTGCACAGGTGCGGCTCCTGGAGCACTCCATAGGTGCATGCAGTGTGTGCAGTGTGTGTGTGCTCACTGGCACGCACTGGCACGCGTGCGTTCCTGCATGCGATTGTATGTTGTAGCTGAAGCAGATGAAGGAGCTGGAGCAGGAGCAGGAGGTGTTGCTGCAGGGTCTCGAGATGATGGCGCGTGGTCGCGACTGGTACCAGCAGCAGCTGCAGCGTGTGCAGGAGCGCCAGCGTCGCCTGGGCCAAAGCAGAGCTTGTGCAGTGAGTGTTGGGACACCCCTCCTAGGGCCGAGGTGTCCTGGGGCAGATTCCCATCAGCAACACCCCCAGGCTCCCTCTGGGCTCTGAGCAGCGGCCTTGGAGGACCGGAGTGCCAGCTGTAGGGAACTCCTCAGGAAGCCCGGTTCTCCTCTGCTTTGCTCTCAGGACTTTGGGGCTCTAGGGAGTTCCCGCCCACTGGGGCGGCTACTGCCCAAAGTACAGGAGGTGGCCCGGTGCCTGGGGGAGCTGTTGGCTGCAGCCTGCGCTGGCAGGGTGAGTGCTCAGGACCCCACTCCACACCCTCTCTGGGCCACCCCCCGGCCCTTTGTCCTGGAGACTGCCTGGGAAAGGCCTGCCTGACCATGCCATCCCACAGGCTCTGCCCTCATCCACTTCAGGGCTCCCGGGCCCTGTCCTGCCCTCGGCCCCTGGCTGGCAGCAGCAAACCATCCTCATGCTGAAAGAGCAGAACCGGCTCCTCACCCAGGTGAGGTGAGGGAAGAGGGGCTGGGGCTGGAGGCATGGCAGGCCCTGACCACCTGCCTGCCTGCCCCCTGCCTGCTCAGGAGGTGACCGACAAGAGTGAGCGTATCACCCAGCTGGAGCAGGAGAAGTCTGCCCTCATCAAGCAGTTGTTTGAGGCCCGAGCTCTCAGCCAGCAGGACGTTGGGCCTCTGGACTCCACTTTCATCTAGCAGGACATGCCTCCCTCAGACATGCATGCAGACTGGGCCTTGGCCCTGTGGGCACCAGTGTGAGCCCATCCTCTGACTGAAGACCACAAACTGGCCTGGACAGAGATCTTGGCTGGGAACTGCTTTCCAACCTTGTGGTCTGGGCTTTCCCAAGGTCTGCCCCAGGTCACCCTGCCCCAGCACTGACTGGGTTCTAGCCCTGGGTGCCTCCCTGAGTGGGGCTGTTGCACCAGCACAGCCTGAAGCTGCTACTTCCACTGTCAGTGGACAGTGGAAGACCCCTTCTCATGTTTACTACGTCTCAGGCAGCCCTGGACAATGGTGGGTATGTTTACAGCTATCCTGTCCCCTTCTGCACTTCTAGTAAAAGTACTGGTCACCCCAGGCTGCACTTCTGATAATTCCCAGTAGAGGGCGTTCGGTGAGTTGGTCCTGCCAGCCCTGTTGCCACCATGGTGGTGTCTCAGAAGGGAGCAGGCGTGTGTGGTCCTGAGGATGGGCTGGGCTGCCTGAGGACCCAGTGGTCAGAGGCCTAGGGGCATCTTCCTCCCCTCAACCCAGGGCACCATCTGGCTGCTGGCCAGTGGGAGCAGGTGGAGGCTATGGGGATGCCTATAAAAGGCATCTGCTTATGCCTGTTGGAGCCCCAGGATGGCGGTCAGGGTTTGTGTCCTAGCCAAGGGTGGGAAAGACTCTGGCTGCAGATGGACCAGGCCAGGCAGGTTCCTGGATGGGGCCAAGAGTTTGGCTTGCTTGTCCCCTCCCACAAATCCTAAAGTCACTTGAGTTTTTGTCCTCCTGGCCATGATTATACCCTAGACTGAGTCCCACCGAGTCACCTGTGACTCAGGTTCTGTGCCTTACTTGGACAAGGGACTAATAGCCACCATCTGGCTCAGGTACTCCTCCCCTGGGGAGGTCCCTGACTCCAGGAGGGGTGTCAGCCTGGGCTGACCATGATGCACAGTAGGGGCAGAGTGTGACCATGGTGGAGGATGTGAGAGTCCCAAGATCTGAGACCTGCTCACACCTTCATCCTCCCACACCCACTTGGTCCCAGGAGAAGGAGAAGGGACATGATCTCTCAGCCACAGAAAAGTGGACCACAGGGTACAGGAAGAGACTGGGGTGAGGTCCCTCTTCAGGTGTTGTTCTCTGCTTAGTTCTCCCAATAACAGCTTGGGTAAGTGCTGGCAGGATGAGGGAAGTCTGCACTCGGTGTCACCAGAACCAAGAGCATGCATTGTCACAGGTGGGCCCAGCCCAGGACTTCCCATGTGGAGTTCGGGGACTTTGCAGGTCAGGCACAGACTAGCCCAGTGCCCAAGCCACCGGCTCTGAGGATGGAAGCAGGTTCTGGGACAGAAGGGGATCCAGTCCTGAGGACAGTTGTGCCCCTGTGAGTCCCAAGCACCAGGCAGACTTGCCACTTGCTGGCTAGATCAGAGCTGCCAGGGAGAACCCTCCCTTTCAACAGGTTGGGCCATGTCTTCTAGTACCTCCCCACACCATCATGGTCCTTGGGTTTGCACTCCCCACTTCCATCCCATGACAAACTTCCCACACCTGCTGGTCCTGAGAGCACCCTCACGATTAAGTGCTCCAAACACAGCCCATGACATTTCCAGAAGTGAGGCCACCACTCTGGGAGTCATGCCCCAACAGAGTCCACTTCCAGTCACTCCAGGCCCCTCGGGTGGCCAGACTACAGCTGAACTGTAGCCTCTCCTCTGCTGGACTTTGCCTGCATAGGTACTCCATCAACCTGCGGCCTCCTCCCTGCTTTGCCTGTTAGCTCCCTCCTGTCCCACGCCAGATCACATAGAGAGCAGAGGGGCCAAGTGCAGCTACATGGTAACAAGTGAGGCAGTCAGCTTTCCCCAAGGTGTATGCCACACTCCAGGACTCTGCTGTCCCTCCTGACATTGTCACAGGACTGGAGGCAAAAGAAGAAACACAGGGTCTGCTCAGGGTGACATTCATTATGAGTCCTCCTGCATAACATGGGAGCCATCAGCTGAAGGGTAAGTTCAAACGATCTGATAACGCAGAAGAGACCTGGGAAAACTGGCCTCTTGTGGCTTTGGGATTCCATGCAGGGAGAGAAAAAATACATCCTCCAGGTTTATGTCCTGCAGTTAGGCTGCTTGCATGGCCCTGGGGACCTCAAAGAGTTTAAAGTGGTCCTGGTTGGCAGGGCCCAGTGGATTGGCAGAAGCCAGGGCACATCCTCAGGCCCCAACCCTAGTGGTGCTTAGGGGGCTGTGGGGGGGCCTGGCCTGCAGGCTGGCCTGCTGTAGGAGGTGAGCAGCTTCCCTGGCCTCTACCCTCTGATGCTATAGCACACACATGCTCCAAATTGTGACAACTAAAAATGGAGACATCGCTCAATGTCCCCTGGGTGGAAACTTGTGCCTGGCTAAGAAGTCTCTGCCATAAAGGAACCCAGCCTCACCACTCCTCAAGGATTTTGTGCAAAGTTCCAAGGAAATGAGCATGTCTAGGTAAAAAATATTCAGACCAAAGGAGCCGGCAGAAACGAGAACTGGCAGAGGCTTGGTTACTGAAATGGCCACAGAGTGAACAGTGACAATGTTTTTATAACAAATAAAGGAGTCTTGAACATATGAACAAGGAAGAGTCCTTTTCACCTCTTATTCTTCAGAAGGTATTAGTCTATATCTTCTATGCTGTAAAGAATATCAACCAAGCTGGGCGTGGTGGTTCACACCTGTAATCCCAACTCAGTAGGCAGAAACAGGAAGATCAAGGTTCAAGGCCAGCCTAGCAACGTTAGCACAAAACACTGTCTGAAAAAACCAAATTGAACTGGGAGTGTAGTTCAAGTGATAGAGAATTTGTCTATCAACCTAGAGGCTCTGAGTTCAATCCCCAGTACTGCAAAATAAATAAGTAAATAAATAAAAATTAAAAGGATGCCGGTCAAGTATGAAAAAGAATAAAGTTAGAACTCTCCAGATCAAAATCTCAATACACGGATTAAACATCAGGTGAAGATTTTCGGCCCATCTGAGAAGAGATTTAATGAGTTTAAAGACAGAGGTTAAGACGTTATCCAGAACGCAGACCAAAGAGACAAGAGATGGAAAGAGGTAAGGTGCTGGCTGGTGGGCCAGGAGGGTCGCTCATGGTCTGGTTGGATTTCCTGAGAGAGATGATGGTGTTGGGGAAGGAGGAATAATAGATTCAGATGAACGGGCTTAAGGTTTTCCAGAATCTTCTACAACCATCAGCTCTTGATCTAGAAACACCAACAAATCATACTTAGGGTGAATAAAGAGAAATGTGTTTTGTTTTTTTAAGATGGCAAAAAAGAATTCAGAGACAGGAAATAAGTCACCTGCAAAGAAACCTCCTTAACATCGGAAGCCAAAACAAATCCGTACCTAGAGATGCTATGCCATCGTTAAAGAACAAAAACAAAATTGATCTCAAGCAAAAATCAGGAGCTTACCACCAAAAGGGAACTGCAGAGGAAGGACACCAGGAGGAAGGTCAAGTTCAAGAAGCAATCAATTATAGAAAGACAAGTTGGCGGGCTGGTGGGGTGGCCCAGGTGGTAGAGCGCCTGGCGGAGTAAGCCTGAGGCCTCGAGTTCAGTTCCGCCTCCCCAAGAAAGACAAGTCGGTTGCATTAAAAACAAACCTAAGGCTTAGTGGCTTTGGTTTCTGTGGGTTAAGAACTTGGGAGCAGCCTGCTTGGAATCCCATGGGACTGCATCATGGTAGCAGCTTGCCCACTGTCATCCAAAGGCCGGGCTGGAGCTGGAGGACACACTTCCAAGATGGCGCACACACATGGCTGTCGGCAGGAAGCCTCAGTTTCTTGGCTCTGTGGGACTCGAGTGTTCTCACAGCGTGGCAGCTGGCCTAGAGTAAGTGACCCATGAGAACAGCCAGAAGGAAGCCACCTGCCTCTTACGACCTTGTCTCAGACGTCACCTCTGGAGTGATCTTGCCTTAGAAGAAAGTGGGGAATGGTCGCACCCTTTCAAGGGTCATCTGTGGGCACATCCTAAAGCCCGCACACAAAAACGAATACACAGGAAAACAAGCGAACGCTGTTTGCCAGCAATGCCAACGTCGGGGAGAAGAACGGGACGGAAGAGGGATGGTCCACAGTGGCAGCTGAGTAGGGAGGGGAGGCTAATCCCAAGGTGCTGTAATTGCTCATAAGGGAGAACCGTGCAGACTGTCTTTAGGTTTGAAGCACGTCTGTCGAAATAACTGGCCTCCTAAATGGGGGAGGACAGGATGACAGGGACAGAACTCCAGCCTCCAGAGGGAAGAACAAACACAATAGTGTGTTGGAAGCATATTAGCAATCACAATTTTTGTAAATGAATTAAGCCTGCTAGTTCTGATGTTGTTTTCTTGGCAGCACCGGGGTTTGAACTCAGGGACTCACACTTGCTAGGCAGGCACTCTGCCACTTGAGCTGCTCTGCCAGCCCTGCTAGTTAAAAGTACACCCGGTCAGAATGGCTCGGGTGAAACACTCCTGTGAAATGAGGCTCAGTGAAAAGTCAGAAGACTCGGCGATGGATGGAGTGTGGCTCCGGCAGAGTGACTTAGGTTCAAACCCCAGGGCTGCCAAAAGAAGTCTAAAATGACCTAAATTTTTAACTTTGGTCCTGAGTTACAGTGGGGTTTTTTGTTGTTCTTTCTGTTTTTGTTTTATTTGTGGTACTGGGGTTTGAACTCAGGGCCTACACTTTGAGCCACTCCACCAGCCCTTTTTTGTGATGGGTATTTTCGAGATAGGGTCTCACAAACTATTTGCCTGGGCTGGATTCGAACCTTGATCCGCCTGATCTCTGCCTCCTGAGTAGCTGGGATGACAGGCGTGAGCCACCAGTGCCCTGGGAGTGTTTTTTTTTTTTTATTTTAATTATATTATTGTTGTACAGGGGTACATTGTGACATTTACAAAAGTGTACACAATGTATCTTAGTTAAATTCATCCCCTCTATCACTCTCC